ACGCGACCGCCTATTACAATATTTTATATTATATATTAATATCCACCAAAGTGTCCTATTTCACGGACCCGACCCGCATAAACGCTGCAGCGAGTGACGCCGATCAGAAACCGTTTTACGAGACCAATATAAGCGTACCCCCCCCCCTTTGCGTGCGCTGCAAGAACTTATCGGCACGTCGACTCGCGTGGGTGGTGGTTGTCCGCAACACGTGTGCGTGAAACGATAATTTATCATATTATATTCGCGTTCATGTGTGTGTGTGTGTGTGTGTGTGTGTATAATACTTAAAAATTATAATATATACAGAAATATTGTGCGTGCCTGATGTAAACCACCAACGCCGTCTCGCAGCCACCTAGATCGACGAGTGCCCATCGTCGACGGGTAGGTTTATAATGTGGTATCATATGGTCGGTTATGAGTACCATCCACCACTTGTTGGGTCCAAAAGTATACACATACATCGATGGCTAACGATGATGGCTGGCCGTATAATATATACAAACCGTTCGTTTGCAGAGTTCGAATTAAGATCTATGTGACGTGTGGTACATAATCCGTTTTTCATCCCCAATTCACTCAGACTTGTATATACTCGAGCGGTTGAAACTATTTTGTTTGTTTTTGTGCGCTCGATTACCAAGTGTATAAGATAACTTAAAATAAGGGAATAGATAACGCGCATTTCGAATAAGACTCTCATAATAGATCGATACATTAATCGAGAAGACTAGGGGAACAATAATATTATGATTATCAGCAGTCGTTCGTAATCGTGTACTACAGGTGATGTCAGTTAATTAGGTACACATTACACAGTATTAATCATTTCGCGGGTTCGCGTTTACCCAACCGCATATTATAAATTACATAAATGGACAGCTCTTGAAATATTAGCCAAGACCTCGCGTTTAATACGTTTTTAATCGACGAACGATTAAACGATGTCGTCCGTACGACGTTTCCGAGAACCCGTCCCAAGCTCGGAGACTTTTCTGGGAAGACGCGCACGCGTGCGTCTTGTTATAAATATAGAAAAATGCGTATATACTTCACCGACAGATGTTTGAGCGGACGCTTAGTGTTCTTGCCCGAGAGATGAAGAGTCTAATACTTGGCATTTCACATTTTTACACTATTGCGTCCCTTTTTTGATTTGCTTCCATTTCATGATGTACCCGTGCAATTTTTCGTCGCACACTTTATAGGTTGAACTAGGCACACCTTTTCGTCCTGACAATTGGCATGTAAAATTAAACAATTAGCCATTACTTATTATTACATACACTATTGTCTATTATATAGGTTATATATAATAGTATCGAACAGAATGCTGATTAAAAATACTTATGTTGTGGATATAATATTAGAATATTATATACCTAATAGATTACGGTATCATTTAATATACGAACGTTTTATGAATATTTATCAAAGATAGCTGATTTTTGTCTTTTAAAGAATGACAAATTCACCTAATGATGTTTTTTTCTCAATTTATACCAAATAATTTTAAATAATATTGTTGTTGATTTAACACAACATAATATGTGTGCACTATAATTATTGTTAGAATTAATTTATGCTCATCTTAAAACATTCATACGAATATGTAAATTGTATCATTGTTTTTTTTTTTAATTTCACGATCAATTGAAGGAGACCGATTTATTTGATGACAAATTTACTTAACGACCGGTTGTACCGCTACCAATTTCATACTATCAGTTGACTGTATACAATAGTATTTGGTCGTTAGTAAGATAATGCAAATTGCAAAAATTAAAAATTAAAACGTTGTGGTTGCACAACAATTAGTTGAATATTATACTAAACAGTATAAGAATAAATAGATAATTTTCGTTCATGACCTATACTCTATAGTTGCGTATGATCTACATAACAGTATGCAAGTCTATTGCATTTAACGAATAATGATGTTGAAAACTAAAAGATGGTTGAGCTAGATTCTAGTTACTAGAAAAAATGTGACTATCAACCGGGCGCACCATATATAGACTTTATACAATATAATGGTGTCCATGGCACAATAAATTCTTCAGCGTATATTCTCGGGAAAAAGCATCGTTGAGATGATTGGACACCAAATTCCAATGGAATTTTGTAAGTATGCCCACGCACGTGGGATGCGTATCGAGCATAGACGTGTTGATTTATTTTTCTTCAGACGTGATGTTAATTTTATTTTATTGTAATTAATTTATGTGTTAATCCTTTTTTGTTGTTATATCGAAAAATATATTCAGTTATTTTATAAATAAATGTTGTACATAACACTGCATATTATAGTGAGTTACCTTTACGTAACATGTGTTATGAATTGCATTGTTTTCCTGCAATATTTTGCTGGAAAACCAATGAAAACTCCAAAGCCAATATCCACCGAACTACTGAGGTAATGAAGCATGCGTGTGTAATTAGTAATTAAGTACATTTTTCAACCTGCATAATATAATCTCCGTTTACACCAGAAAAAGTGTTGCAGGGCTTACCTGTAACGATGGTGATCTTGATAAGAGATTCGAATTTACTGATATTGGTTTTTGGTAATCTCTACGGGTATATTTTGATTTTTCTGATGAACCATTCGTTTTAATATTCGAAGATTCGACTTCGCAGAATTTGTACCGTGACTGAGTATTCAGAACCATAGACATATATAAGTATAATATACTTCTATATTATATATATATATGTCTATGTTCAGAACATCAAAGAGAAATTCAAATGGCAGAAAGCTACGAAAAAGATTGAACTAAACATTATGAACCAACCATAAATTTATGTATAGGTCGTACGTACCTACCGATCGTAAGTTTAATGTCGACAAAATGTATGAAAAAACTGGGCCCAGGGAAATAATACACACAACCCTGTGCCGCCCGTCGTCCCTGATAATGGATATCGTATATTATTATTTATTTTTTACAACACTGTCACGTACTCGGTTCGTCGTCGTCGTCGTCGTCGTGTTTCACAACTCACAAGTGCCACGGAGGAAAATAAAAATATAATAATCGTAAAACGGCGGCGAGGCTGCAGCTGAACTGTTATTATTTTCCTCGTTTACACAATAATATACACGCAGACCGCAAGATCTATACAATATAACATGATTCTTATACGCGTGCGTACCACGGGGGTATACGCACACACGTCGTCGTTATAATGTATACATGGCGATATTATTATATTATATTATGTATTGATATTTAAAAGGAAAAAGAAACCAGTTATATGGTTGCCGGTGGACCGGATCTCGTATGGGCCCCCCTTTTGATTTTTTAATACTTTGTCATAAATATATAGGTATGTATGTACGTACGTACGTATTAATCGTATTATACATGGCAGATAATAATAATATAATATCATATAATACCTACACACACACAAATAGTAATATACATTACGTGCACGACGATAATATTACAAACAGGGACGGTGTAGATAGTGGTGTGTTGGTATCTACCTCTCTGGAGCAATATCTAATATTTAACTCTTGCAACCCCCCCATCAACGGAGCTCTTAAAACAGAATGTTTTTTTTTCCATCAAAAATCTAATAAATAATTGAAATGACGACTTTTCCCCCTTTTTGTTTGCATAGAGGTAGAGAAAGTTTTGTGTTACATTCTAATTACACACATTATTATGTATATTAATATGTTGACATCATTATACATTTACCTAATTTGAAATTCAATAGTATCAAAAACAAAATGTGTAGTGGTGACTATAAATGTGTGTTTTGAAATATCACAATCAGACACAATGTGTATCACTTACTTATGACATAGGTAGGTACAAGATATTGTCATATTGTATTTGTATGCTCAATATATTATTATTATTAATGATTAATGAATAATAATACTGCACAATGGTGATAATCATTTTAATCTTTAATAATAATCCGGTTTCACATATTAATATATAAATACGTTTTACAAACTGCAATTGTAATAAGATAATAATAAATCGTACATTTACAACATAATACTATGTTGTTATCATTTATATAATTACGAATAAGTAATATTATGATAACGATAAAAAAAAACGGTTTCCGAACAAGAAATATACAAATTTGTTTTCATATTTTATTTCTTCAAAACAAAAAGGACCGATTATATATAAAAAAAAAATGTAGTTTATAACTCGTGAATAAGAAACATAAATTAAAACAGTTGACGCGGAATAATCATAGACCATAGTGTATATAAGAACAAAAACGAAAGTGACCGATGTCGACGAATATATTAAGGCTCATTATAAGGACGCCTAAGACATAAAGGATTCAACCCTAAGAATTATGCTTCCGGGAACAAAAGCTCTTTTTGTCGGATTTATATTACATCCACTGAGAACAAGAATTTAATTTCGTTTTTTAAATGTTTAAGTTTTTTTCTTACAGACAAGGATTTGTGATTATGACGTTTTCCTGTGACGAAAACTGCAGCGATCTCTCAGCTATTTAGTCAGAGGTTGAAAATCTAAGAAAATATTACCAATATGTCTTCCTAACATATTTTGCTGTACCGGCGCACAATCGCACAAAGGCTTGCGACATCGCAGGTCGTAAAAACGGCATCGTACGACCTTTCTTACTACGATTTCAATCATCTCCATCGGCGACGATGTTGCAGCGTAGTGTATATAGTAAGTCCGCGACCCCGATCGCGATAAGTTCGTCACGATTTCTGCGGAGTTGGGTTTTTTTTCTCCCCGCGTGCTGTTATAATAATAAAAATAATAATAATATAATGCACATTGCAGCCACGCAGGTTATAGGTACCTACCTATATATATCATTATTATTATTATTATTATTTTGTACCGTTTCTTGCCCTCCACACCACATCGTCATCGTCGCCGTCACTTGTCGACCGCACGCGCACGCGCACTCACATCACACACACACACTCGTGTTATCATTGTACACACGCGCACACACGACCGTACAATGGGGTCGGTTGATCTCGGCGGGTCGTGTCGGCTACCGGTTTTTATAAGTTTCCTGTCCGGAGATTTATGACGAGGGGACCAACAACGATATTATATGTGTATAATATACAGGTATGTACATATAATATCTATATGACTATATATATATAAATTATTGTTCGCGTACGCATTATTATTATTACTATATTTATTTAGGTGTGTATATCATACGTTATATTATATGGGTAGCGCCCGCCGAGACACCACCGAGTCTCGGAGATTTCAACCGTTTTGAGACGTCACCGCGGTGGCTTAAAAGAGGATGTCGGCGCACTATATATTATAGTTATTAGTATGTTTGTTTTCACTCTCCGGACCCACTGCAGCGATGTGCATTGTGAAGGTTTGTAAATTGTACGTAGGTATACTCTGGTACTCATAACTCGCATAATATACGAATAATTGAAACATCGTAAATAAAAGCCAACGCGAATAATGTATTCTGGTAATAGGTCGATTCTCTCCGACATTAAAGCAAACGACCCAACTAAACGAGACTGGTTCTGCCGAACGTGAATTCACCATGTGACGCGTGACTATCGGTAAGAGAAATCAAAAACTGTGCGTCGATAATTCCTTTCAAATATATAATACCATAAATGGCTCAAGTTTACAGTCAGTATTAAAAAGGTTTAGGCGTTAACTTAAACATGGTTCGAACTTTCACTTTCACGTAAAAGCGATTTTATATATATGATGCTCTCGTCTCGAATAATTCAAGTTATTTGCCATTTCCAGTTCTCTTTTTGAAAACTCGTCTACCGTCTGTTCTGTGCGACCCTTTCACAGCTGTTGACTCTTCCCGTGTATAAAGGGTGTAAGAAGGCGATTTATGAATTCCTCGTCTTTCATTCTAAAAATTTACCTGCACAATCCTCATGACTCCTGCCCAGTCATGCATAAGCTTGATATCCGCCCCCTTAGTGGATATAGATGAAAGAGTAGACGGTAACTTATAGTATTCCTTCCTGCAGGGCTGATGGACGGACGTGTACGCATGCCCTTTATTTGGTCTTCAAATTAAATTTTTAAGATCCTTCCCGTTTCACACGATCCCAAATTACTGTTATTGTACCCCTTCATTCAACTAATTACGTTTACAACGATTCTTAGCTGAAAACAGAATGATGCTACGAGTAAGGTCTAATTGCACTTATTTATGCCGAAGTACACTTGCAGGGACAGAAAAAGGTATAATGTTCGAACGGCTGGTATCGAATTGGTACCCGAGCTCCAACTACACATGCCAAATTGGTTCTCTTTTAAAAAATATATTCTATTGAGTTGAGCAGAATAGGTTCACGTTTAATTACTCACATTTTCCTTCTCAATCATGATCCAAAACCTATAAATATGAAAGAATATCAATCGATGATTGAAAATAATTTGTATTTTTAATGTTCAAAGATAATTGTTTTAATTTGAATAATATTGCATATACAGCTACAATTTAAAATGTATAATAAGAATATGAAAATATGTATTTACGTTTATTTCAAAATAAATTATTTACAACTTTGAACTTCTACGAGCGAATAGTTTAAATAGTACAATTCGAACAATTGGTCTTGTGTTGAACTCAAGTGTAATTATTCAAAGTTTTTCATTTAGGCGACTAAGAAGTTCAAAAAAACCAAATACCTATGCTATATTATATGAGCACCCTTTATGTTTATTTGTTTTATTAAGCTATACCTATGTTATTTTATTTTTGAATTTTCAATCCCACTTGCCTGGGTTAATATTTATTATGTAGTTTATTATTGATGTAACCATCACTGTGTTTTTGATTTAATTTATATTATTATTTTATATTAATATTGTAATCGATATTGTATATCGTACTACAAATACTGTTTTACATCCGTTAAATAAATATCTTACATTAATAATAATAATTGAGTGTTGATGCTTGAATGTTCATTCCCTATGATCTAAAAAATACGTTTATGATTTATAACATAAAAAACTCAAAAAATGCACAAAAAAAAAATTGTCAATGAAATAAATACTTGAAAAATGGCCATAAAACGATTAAATTATTTATTGCTTTTTAAATTAAAAATTTCAACTTATTGACATACATATTACATACACATTTGAATTTGAATTCCAAAGCTGGTTTTCATCTAGAAAACAAATTATCATCTTGTTTTAGGTAGTTTTCGGAATAGGTAAGTGAAATTAAATTATTCGATTTGTGGAAAATGTAAAAATAACCGACAGTCAAATCGTAATTTTTCACGCAATCAAAAAAAAAAGTAAAATCGTCGTCTGTGTTAGAAAAATGCAATACTTATCGACATCTAGTCCCTAATCATAATAAGTGGGGGCGTAAGCAGGTCGCTCGCGCTTGTCCGTATGTAGAGTGTTACATATTATCATGGTCGTTGTACTAGGCATAGATATTAATATACAATACTACCAGTTACATAATATATTATAATAATGTACCTACTTATATCGTATAATGTTATTATGTGTAATGTGTCGTTGCCCGCATGACGATAATATTATTATACATTTTATGTGCACCCGCGTCATTATGACGTGTATCAGTGTATAATGATGTGTATAATGTACCATGTTGTGTACTCGTCAGCGTGCGGCGTGTAAATAGCGATAAAACGGTTTTGATTTCTTTCCGCGTCGCGGACGGATCCGGACATTTCGCCTCGACATTTCAATGAAATCAATTATTTAATAAGATAAAACTGTATAGGATAATATTTGCAAAACAAATCTAAAATAAACAAATTAAGATTGCATTTTAAAAATCACGAGGTTGGGTCCGAAATTGTGTGGTCTGGTGGCGAAACGGTGGCGGTGATTTGTCCTTTCCACAAGTTTAATTGGTATCAATTTTTCATTATTATTTATAAATTTGTCAGATCATTTTTCCGTTACACCCTGTAAAGTAACCTGTGTATTATTCAGCCTAACATAGGCCTAAATAGAACTCTAAAACGTGCGGGGTCTTTATAATTGTAAATGCCTCATAGAGCCGAGGCATTGCCTTACCCTACATATACCATACGAATACATTTTTAAAATCTTACAACTAGTTATAAATGACTTAATAACTAAGATAATTGATACTTAACACTTTTTGTATACAATTTAACACACTATATATAATACTGTTTTTGTTGATAATATATTAATATTTGTACTATAAAACGTTAATTATTGATACAAAACTCATGAGTGTTTACCAATTAATAGTTAATGATACTTGGTCAAGAAGATTGTAACGTCGTTTCTTTATTGTTAAAAACTTAGCCACTGCTGCAGGTCTGATATCGAAATCTGCACGGTGCAAAAAATAAAGACAAATTTAATGTTGAATATCGTCTCAGTCCACGCATCCACGTATGTAAACAGTTATATGTACTTAACAATTATCGGTGATAATTTTTACTTATATTGGAATTTCACGCTTATCGTTATAAATGTATAATATTATACTCTGTTTCACGAGAGAACGTGCAGTGACCCTACCAAAATTGGTATTTCTACTCATCCCCACGTGACACCCGTCACCGTGCAATAAGCGAACTGATTTCGATAGCATGGAAATAGGGACTAGAGCGAGAAGTTCCGACCTATAGGCCACTGCAAAAAGAAATCAGCTGGAGAGAACTGGTATCCACACACAAACATTTAAATCACTCTAGAGATTAAGGTGAATGGTGACCAGTGGTGGTTTTCAGAGGATCGGTTTGGACACTATTAGGACTTGGGGGTTTTTTTTTACTGATTAAGAAATTATACATTTCTGTTTGTGGACTCAGGCCTAATGGCACTAGATTATATTATATATATTCATATTTTTACAATAACTTATTTAGTTGAAAATTATTTTTATTAAAATACAGTCTTATCTTATACTTGGTTTGATATTTTTGTTGATTTGAAGAACTCTATTGTGTTGGCGGTGTGGCCTTCGTTTTCAGGATTTGGACCTAGACTTGTTCCAATTAGGTGGTTTGCGTTCAGTTCTTCTCTTCGTTTTCCGCGGACTTGGGTAATTCCTTTTATTTATTGTGACAATATAATTAGAAAGGTTTTAAAATATAACGAGAAGAAAACGTAAAATAAGTAAGCTAGGATGGTCTTCGACAAGAGGATTCAAACAATTTTTGGCATAATTTTTACGTTACGGTACTTAATTCGCCCCCNCCCCACCCCACCACCACCACCATCTTTTCAAACATTTTTCTTTGTATTCACTTTAAGTTACTAAAGAAATATGCATCCAAAAACGATAATATTCCACTCGAGAAAATTAGTGTTTTTCTTATAGATACCTTAAAAAGAATCTCCCATTGCATATAATATATTGGTAGTACCTATGAGAAATCCCTCTTAAAACGAACCCGGACACGCCACTGGAGCACATTATCACTATGTCACACACCACGCATAATTTTATAACGGACGGCCTTCGACGTTCGTCACTTGATTGAAAAGAATAACAATAATAATAATAGTCGGGTCTGACGAACAATACAAATCACACTGTGCAGCCTGCGAGGTTCGACTGCGCGCCGCCCGGGAGTCGAGCTGCACCGGATCGGCTCTCGTTGCGATACGTGTTGCACCGTACAACACCTACACAACAAAAACAATAACATTATTAAAAACCAAAAACAATAATAATAATAATAATGATTGTTATCGCGTTCCTTGTTCGTGTATTATAAACTTCGAGCTACAGTCGTCTATCCAAGTCGCGTGCGTAGGTTTTATAATAATCGATATACTTTATGCATGACATTTTAATGATTATATTAATGTTATTAGATTTCCTTTTTATAGTTATTGTATCGCACACCGAAACACATTATTGCCACTGACCTCGATGGTCCTGTTGTCGGATGCACTGCATGTGCACATGAGATACAAATAATAATATAATAAAATATAATGCATAAAATATACACCCTGCACACGTGCACGATGCATAGTATTATTACTATTATATTATTTACCTTATAATAATACTGCACGTGTGTCGTCTTTGAAAAGCAAGGACGTCTTCACGTAGTACCGGACCACGGTGGGGTAGAAGGATATTTATTCTATTTATTTATAATTTAGGTCACCAGAAATTGTTTTTAAAATGCTGACGACTCCCAAAGAAAAGTAAATATCTGTATTTTAAATTAGACATAAGGCGTCCTACACCATTAACTAAATTGATTTAGAATTTACAATAACACTATAATATTTAGTAACTGACACGATAATGATAGCTCACACCTGTATGTTGCTGTAAGTTATACGATTATGTTTCTTTGGGTTTAATTTGAATTTTAAAAATCAAAATAAATCTCTGCGCGTCTTTTTAAAATTATTATTATTTGTGGAACTTCTTAGGTTCTTAACATACCTTTATATAAAAACATATTTATAACTGCACGACATAAAAAGTAACTAATATTTGAAATACTGCAGTGCCCTTAATCTTTATAATGGTACAACTTTTACGTTTTTAACATTACCAATTTGGTTTGCCTTCGGGCCTCCCTTTATAGTTTACACTGGGATCAATTACGATTTATTGATGAGGATATATTATTTATATGGCCATTGTCATCTGAAACAACTGTCAATATTTTCAGATCAAGTTTAATTTATATAATAATACTTAATAAGACCTAATACCTATATACTATCTAATTTTTAAGGTAAAATATACTTTAAATATTAATGAAAGAGACAGCTACGGGTTACGCCAAAGTTTGAAGTGGTTACTATTTATGAGACAAAATTGGAAGTAGAAGAAAATTAAATTATTTTTATCAATTACATTTTTATTTCCAATCTATGTATAATATATATATATATATATATATGAATTGATATATGAATTAATGTTTCTTTGTGTGTTCGTTGAATCTGTGTCCAATTTTTTGTGTTTACATTAAAAACATGTCCAGAATGAAGAAATGGAAAATCACAAAATTAATCTATGTGCCAAATTGTATTTATATTATTATATATTTCAACTGAAGCAGAGCTAAAAAATATTGAATGATAGATTAATTAAGACACGAGCTAAAATATACGAGTGCAAATTAGTAATTTTACATTAAACTAGTAAATATATATTGAAAAACATTACTTTTGGAGAGCTAAATTCCATTATACTCACTGCAGTATTGCAGGGGACTGATTAAAGTCGTCACTAAGTATAGCGGTTATATAGGTACCTATATAAAATATTATAATACATATTTTACAACACTCCTTTTCGTCTCAACTTTTCCAACCGATTGCACGGACGATGTGGTGCAGCTGCTCGCTACATATTATTTCGACAATTATTATTCAAGCACAGCAAATTTAACGACGTGACCCGACATTAATTTATCCCTGAATGACGGTTTATAATATTGTTAACGCATTATTATTATTATTATTATTACTATTGGAATAATTGCAATTATTATTGTCGTATTTATTAGCATTGTTGTTGTTATTAAATCATTTCAGAAACTCAAACTGTGCATCATCATATAATATTATGACCGACTGCCGCGGGCCGTAAAAACCAATTGGCCGGGGCGATAATGATCGTACACATTTGAATATTTTTACAGGGACAGACGAGTATGATATATGATGCATTTGATCGCCTATACCCATATAACCTGCATCGCTGCATCACAAAAATAAAGCGGT